AACGGGAAGGTCTAAACAGGAAGTCAGCCTTCCGTTTCTTTGTAGATAGATTAAAGCAAAGACATGGCAAACTAGAGCTCAGAAAATCGCTTGTAAAAGATTAACTTTCATCATTTAAAATTGTTGAACCTCTTCGGAAGCAGGAGAAGGGGGGATTTTTCGGACTGTTTAAACCTGCAGAAGTGAGTGTAAAGTAACTTTCCACCGTCCTGATCCTGGATCGGGGTGTCAGGACTGACGTTTTTTGAAGCTCATTGACCAGAGACAAACGTTTTTGACAGATAGCTATAAGAAGAGAAACATTGATTCCATTGTTCCCCTTCGCATTTTAAAGGAACAAATATTGACAAAATATCTGAAAAAGGAAACTTTGTTGTTAGACTTGTCTTTAAAAGAAAAGAACAAATAGAAGTTTTCCCCCTAGAGGGAGACTGTGAAACTGTAACCAACTCCGGGGAGCTTGCAGCTGTTACAGATTACAATCGTGGGAATAGACTTCTGACCTTGCAGGACAATGTATTCAGAAGCTCTGTTGTGTGCTCTCTGTAAAACAAATGCCCTATTGCAACAGCTACATGAGAAGACGGACTTGATGACTGATGCGATCCGAAATTTTGAACAGGCAGTGGGAAATTATATGGAGCCCACCCAGGAATTAAATCAGGAGTGTGCCCTGACAGAACAGATGAGGGAAGAGGATGCTGCTGAATCTTGGGCGCCAGAGATGGAGGGAGCTGTGGCCCAGCAGGAACATGAGCTTTTGGATTTGACAAATGAACTTGGAAAAAGCCAGATTTGGAAAGATAAAGTTTGGTTTGGTTTGGAAATGGGGGGTTGGATAGACCACCGTATGCAGGGATGTTTGGGCTTCTCAAGTCTGACAATGGGCCGTGAGATGTTTGGGGTTGTGGGGGCTCTTAATTTTGGAGGGATTTTGAAACATGTTCTTAAATACCACATGGAGTTTAGTGTGGACTATGGAAAAGGGGCTGATTTGTCGAGAAGGGTCAAAAACATTGTTAAGCTGGAGTTCCCACGAGTGAAAGGAGCAGGAGACAAAGGAAAATACAGCTATAAATATGAAGAAGAGCCGCGGAAGGGACATGGAAGGGACTTAAGGGCCTCGGATACAAGGTTACCAGGTTAATGCGCTAGATCGATGGGATAATAAGGACTGACAAAACCCGGGACCAGGAGGAAGGGATGCTGGATGAAGATTGGATTGTTTTTATTTCTTTTTTTTACTACTAGGATTGTTTTATAAAATTGATGAATGTTAGGAAAATGTTGGAACGTAATTACTTGGCTTTAGCAAAAATGTTTAAAGAATTATGTAAGAATATTATGGTTATGAGAAGTTGGTAAAAATAAGATTTAAGTTTTAAGCTTTAAGGTTAAGATAAGATTAAAATAGATTAAGGTAATGTAATGACAGAATATTATGAAATATGGAAAGGATTTGCTGCGACAATTAACAACTAGGATACAAAAAAAAGGAGGAGGTCAAAGAAAGAAGGTAATGACAGTTGAGGATTTGAGAATGATGGATTTGTTTTTGAGTGTTTGCGGTGTATTTTTGTTTTTTGCATTTGTATTGTTTGAAGTGGTTTGTTTTTTCTTTGTTTTTTCTTTCTCTTTTTCTGCTTTGTTCTCTTTTGTAATTCTAAAACTTTTTCAATAAATATCAATTAAAAAACAAAAAACAAACAAACAAAAAAGAAATGTAGGTGTTGAAGGGGCAGCACACACTCCAACATTCCTCAGATGACAATGTCCCTATTTTCATCTGAGGATTGTTGGAGGGTATGCTAACATGGTCTGAAATATTCGAGGGGGGCGGGCGAGGGGAACAGGCCTCCCTAAATGGCATCCCTGGTTTAAAACTTATAAGGTCAGTACCTACAGTAAGTCTTCTTCTTCTTCTTTGGCGATCACTCCTAGCCGAGAAAGATTGTCTTCCATAAACACAGTTTTAACAATGAGTCCGTAAGTGACTGGAGGCCGATTCTGGATCCACATTGTTATTTACTGAAGTTCTCACCCTGGGCCAGCAGGGGGATACTGTAGATAGTTCAGGTACACATATGCAAATAAGGGATTGAAAGTGACGTTCAGTGATTGGATAGTTACAGAAAATGGTTACTGTTGCGTTTTAGTGGAGCTCTATATAAGCAGGCTGACTGAGCTCTTCAGTTCAGTTCTGTTCTGGCCTGTGAATAAACAAGAGCTGTTTGAAGAATCGCTGTGTCGTCTGATATGTTCACTCACAACTTAACACACATGTCCTTCCACAGTGGGGACATAGGTTTCTGGGTGGGAATTGATCGTGGTGAGGTTTGCCAAACATTCCTTCCTCTTAGCACGTTTCTCCCTTTCGTCCTGAGTTCGAGTGTCTTCAAAGCCCATGGCACCTTTGGTAAAGGCTGTTCTCCAACTGGAGTGCTCACAGGCCAGTGTTTCCCAGTTGTTGGTGTTTATATTACTTTTTTTTAGATCTGCCTTGAGAGAATCTTTAAACCTCTTTTGTTGACCACCAGCATTACGCTTTTCATTTTTAAGTTCGGAATAGAGTACAGTGGTACCTCGGGTGAAGAAATTAATTTGTTCTGGAGGTCTGCTCTTAATCTGAAACTGTTCTTAACCTGAGGTACCACTTTAGATAATGGGGCCTCCCGCTGCCGCTGCACCGCCACCACACGATTTCTGCTCTCATCCTGATGCAAAGTTCTTAACCCGAGGTACTATTTCTGGGTTAGCGGAGTCTGTAACCTGAAGCGTCTGTAACCTGAAGTGTCCGTAACCCAAGGTACCACTGTAGTTGCTTTGGAAGATGATAGCCAGGCATCCGCACAACATGACGAGTCCAACGAAGTTGATGTTGAATAATCATTGCTTTGACACTGGTGATCTTTGCTTCTTTCAGTACACTGGCATTAGTTTACCTATCTTCCCAAATGATGTGTAAATTTTTTCGGAGACACTGTTGATGGAGTTGGAGATGGCGTTTATAAGTGGTCCACATTTCACAAGCAGACAGTAAGGTTGGTAGTACAATAGCTTTGTAAACAAGCATTTTGGTTTCCCTGCAAATGTCCCAGACCTCAAACACTACAGTAAATGCTCCCGCATGGCTACCCCACTGTAAACTAAGGCAGCTCCAAACACATTTCACTGGGCTGAGGCCTGCTTCTCCATCTGCTTTGGGAAAATACCTTGCCAGCTGAATGCATTTATGCAGCGCTTGCTAGCACCGTATGTGGTGCTAAAATTCAATGCTTTACCGTAAGGTTTCTTGTTGACTGTGTAAGAAGAAAACAAAAATCTCTTTACATGTTGGAATACAAAAACAAAGTGTGCCCTTATGGTAGGGGAGCAGGAAGACTCGGCCACCTGTTGCAATCTTTTGTTGATTTAATCTTTGGTGCTAATTTAAAAGGCTTTGGACTTGAATTCATGGCTTTTCTCTAGCCTTGACACTTCACACAGGTCCTCACCATCTGTTGAGTTGGAGCCATCCGTTTTATGGAATTAGTAGGTTTAAATATGGGATAGCACATATGCTGAGAAGGAGAATGGCTAAGCAGCAGAATGACACACAGTACCAAATTGCTCAGAACTTGTTTTTTTTAAAAAAATGATATTTATTAAAATTTCAAAAAAAAAAAAAGATTACATTAGTAAGAAAAATAACAGTAGAAAAAAGAAAAATACAAAGTACAAAAAAAACAGTTAAAAACAATTCCATCTTTTCATCACTTCTCTTACATTTACTTGTTTCCCGGACCTCCTCACACCTCCCTTTTTTGTATTCCAATTCAATTTATTTAGTCCAACAATTCCTTTCCCTCCTTTTTAATCCTGATCTTTAATCTTAATATATTATAACATTAGGCTTTTACGTATTGAAAACCAATTTTTCCATATTCTTTTATACCATTACAGCTAGAAACCACTTAACTTCAATCCAACATCATTCTAACATTCATTAATTTTACAATATTTCTGTAAGTAGTCTTTAAATTTCTTCCAATCTTCTTCCACCGACTCTTCTCCCTGGTCTCGGATTCTGCCAGTCATTTCCGCCAAGTCCATGTAGTCCATCATTTTCATCTGCCATTCCTCCAGTGTGGGTAGATCTTGTGTCTCCCAATGCTTTGCAATAAGTATTCTTGCTGCTGTTGTAGCATACATAAAGAAAGTTCTGTCCTTCTTTAACACCGATTGGCCGACTATGCCCAGGAGAAAGGCCTCTGGTTTCTTCAAGAAGGTATATTTAAATACCTTTTTAATTCGTTATAAATCATCTCCCAGAAAACCTTAATCCTTGGGCACGTCCACCAAAGGTGAAAGAATGTACCTTCAGTTTCTTTACATTTCCAACATTTATTATCGGGCAAATGGTAGATTTTTGCAAGCTTGACTGGGGTTATGTACCACCTGTATATCATTTTCATAATATTCTCTCTTAAGGCATTACATGCCGTAAACTTCATACCTGTGGTCCACAACTGTTCCCAGTCAGCCATCATTATGTTATGTCCAACGTCTTGTGCCCATTTAATCATAGCAGATTTCACCGTTTCATCCTGAGTATTCCATTTCAACAGCAAGTTATACATCTTTGACAAAATCTTAGTTTTGGGTTCTAACAATTCTGTTTCTAATTTTGATTTTTCCACCTGGAAGCCGATTTTCTTATCCAAATTGTACGCCTCCATTATCTGATAATAATGAAGCCAGTCTCACCAAATTGCTCAGAACTTGGGTGCATCATTAAAATGCCATTTCTAGAGCACACAATGGGTAAACTAAGAGTACCCATTTTGACGAGTTCGTCAAAGCATCTATGACACATTGGGCAATAGATATAGGACATAATATAGATTTTAATCCCTGGGGGAAATGTTGAAAAAAGCGATCTGAAATTTACAGCATGTTATTCCTTGAAGGACAACTACTTGAAAATGATTTACAGATGGTATTTAACTCCGAGTTAAAGGCTTGCTAAAAGGTATAAGTCCAAATCAGATAAGTGCTGGAGATGTAATGAGGTTGAGGGTATATTTTATCATATGTGGTGGACTTGTAAAAGGGTAACAGAGTATTGGGAAATGATATATAATGAACTGAAAAAAATGTTTAAAAGTACCTTTCCAAAAAAACCCACACCAGAGTCCTTTTTGTTGGGGATAATTCAGACGGAAATTCCCAGGTGTCAAAAAAGGCTATTTATGTATGCCACTACTACACCCCATGTTTTGTTAGCCCCAAAATGGAAAGTGAGCGAAGTCCCAACAAAAGAAGAATGGCAACTTAAACTGATGGAATATGTGTAGCTTGCAGACCTAAAATATAGAATAAGAGAACAAGAAGAACATACGTTGATGATTGGAAAATGTTTACTGAATATATGGGTGAAAATTGTGCACATTTAAAAACGCTGGTAGCATTAAGATAAATTCAACAGTGTAAATAAGTTTTGATGGATGCAATAATGGAATACTGAATGGTTTTGTTCATGTAAAATATGCAGGGATGTACGGTGTGCAAAATGAACCATGGAAAGAGAAGAACAGAATTCATCAGTACTTTAAGGTTGTTTAAATGAATGTTCTAACTTATAAAACACAAAATTTAATTAAAAAGTATATATACTAAGAGTACCCCATTTTGGATTTTTAATGAGCAGGAGGAGAGTGAAGAGTTGCCATGGGCCAGGAGTCAACTTCACCTGCTGAACAGCAGCCTGAAGGGGGAGTGACTCCACCTGCAGCTGATCTGCCATCAAGGCCAGGAGGAGAAGGTACTGATGAGAACCTTCTGGCTTCAGCCTTCTTAAGCAGACCTCTCAGCAGCCGTCAGATGCTGGAAACAATGCCTTGTGGTTCCGGACTCTACCTTTCTGCTCTCTGCTCATCACCTGGACCCTTGGCTCTGTGATCATCTGGATTCCCTGATCTGTGGACCCTTAGCTCTGTGATCATCTGGATTCCCTGATTTCTGGACTGTATGCGGATTCTGCTCCTAGTCCCTGCATGCTCAGCAACGGGACTCGGGATGGAGCTACAACAAGAGTGGGAAGGTTCATAGCAAGAAGCGGGCCCTTTGAAAAGGACAGACTAGGACTGAGGCGTTTAACATTTTATTTTATTTATAAAAATGCATGCCCCACCTTTCACTGAAAGCAACGTCAGGGTCCAAAAAAACAACACAAGCACGCACATTAAATTAAAATCAATCAAACAAACAAGATGAAATAATGCATTTTCAAACTCACTAGGCTGCGCATACACCATTTCAACATTCCTGTTGAACTCTGGGAAATGTAGTTTAGCCTTACAGAGAATCAATTCCCAGCACTCTTAACAAACCAGAGTTCCCAGGATTCCTTGAGGAGAGGTTGAACCACACCGTGAAAATGTCGCAGAAGGCCTGTAAATGCCGTTTTGGTAGTCAATATAACCCCAGGACTAATTTTTATTTGCTGCAAGTAGGGTTGCCATGTGCCCTCTTTTTCTAGGACATGTCCTCTTTTTCAGGGGTAAGATTTCCATCCGGATGGATTTTTAAAATTTGCCGAAATGTCTCTGGCTATACTTTCTGGATGACACATAGACATAACTGGTGGCTGAAGACTTGCTTTCCTCTTCTCTTCTCTTCCCCTGCCCCCCCCCCCCCAGCAATATATCACAACTTCTACAGCCTACATATAGTAGGGGTATTTAAAATGAGAGTCATCACTGTTATGCACTGAGGTTCTCACCCTGGGCCAGCAGGGGGATACTGTAGATAGTTTTCACTTAGGTCCACATATGCAAATAGGGGATTGAAAGTGATGTTCAGTGATTGGATAGTTACAGAAAATGGTTACTGTTGCATTCTAGTGGAGCTCTATATAAGCAGGCTGACTGAGATCTTCAGTTCAGTTCAGTTCTGTTCTGGCCTGTGAATAAACAAGAGCTGTTTGAAGAATCGCTGTGTCGTCTGATATGTTCAACTTAACTATCATAGTGCCCTCCTTTTTCTCTTCAAAATATGGTAACCCTAGAATGATCTCACATATGCTTATCTGCTTTGAAGCTTTAAGCTTTGGTTCAGTTCCGTGGAAGAGGAGAGGCTTCTCATACTGTCTGCCTGTCAGTTACTCCCTTATCTAAGAGATGGATAAGAGTTATGAAGGGCCTCTAAGCCGGTTGAGTTAATGGGGCTGTTGATGCTGACTTAGTAGCTTGTGTTTTGTATAAGTAACGCTTAACGTATTAGCACCTCACAGGCAAGTATGTGCAGAGCCCATAAAGGCAGCAGGGCTCTGCAGGCTGGGTTGCAAGTTTACACTTTTCTTTAATAAACTGGACGTTCTGGTGTTTTTGACATCCTTGTTTGATATTCCTGCACCAAACCACTTGCAAATGCCTTCCTTTGGGCCTGTGGATCAGGGCGGCGGGTACTTTAAATGCATGGTGTATACAAAGGTGATATTATTTGGAAATATTTGTAATATTTATATTGAAAATATTTGCAAAAATCGAGCAGGCAAACATTTTCCATCTGTGGGCAAGAAAAGGCTCCCTGTCAGGATTTCTATTTGTCGCACAACTATTAAAGTTTAAGGAACCCTATTGGAGGAGGGCTACAGTGGGAGGGGCCAAGGAACTCCCAAAGTATCAGTAGAATTGCATTTGCTCTTCTCAGCTTACGAAAAATGTTGAGATACCTGATTCCATGTCAGTGGAAGACTTGCATATTTTATGATTTTAGCAAGGCACATTATCACCCTCACCAACAGGGTAGAAAAAGATGTTCTACGGTACTTGACACATTTGTATTTTTTTTTTAGGAGGAAAAAAAAATTACAACTGTTTTATGATCATACTAGAACACTGTGGGGAGATTCTGCAGTTCTGGGCTCTCAGGCAATTGATTCTAATATGTGCGTGGGCGGATGTATATGGCAAAGAAATGAATATGAAGTAAAACATACTGCATCTTCAGGTGATAAATTCAGGTGTGTACACACAGAGAGAGACATAATATAGGCAGTTGTGGCATAGACAGACGTATAATTTCTCATAATATGGTGCCCTGTGTGAGGCCAAAATTTGGTGCCCCAAAATGGATCTTCTCAATTACGGATCGTCTCAGTTTTGCACCCCCTCAGCTTGGCGCTCTGTGTGTGGAGAATCTGTTGTTCGTTATGGATGCTGAGATTTGTTAGGAGACCTCTATTTCTCTCAAAGAGCTACAATTTCCAGAGCTGATAGGCAAAAAGGTTTCCCTGGTAAACCACGCTGGAAATTGTAGTTCTGCGAGCAGGATAGCAGAAGGGTAGGGGGTCCTTAGCCTATTCCCTGCCTACAGCCTTTCCAGTGCAAATCCTTCCTCACAAGCTGCCCTACTCTGCCATCCGAGACCACATAACACCGGTCTTGAAAGACCTACATTGGCTCCCAGTACGTTTCCGAGCACAATTCAAAGTGCTGGTGTTGACCTTTAAAGCCCTAAACGGCCTCGGTCCAGTATACCTGAAGGAGCGTCTCCACCCCCATCGTTCAGCCCAGACGCTGAGGTCCAGCGCCGAGGGCCTTCTGACGGTTCCCTCATTGCGAGAAGCAAAGCTACAGGGAACCAGGCAGGTTTCCGAGCACAATTCAAAATATTGGTGCTGACCTTTAAAGCCCTCAATGGCCTCGGCCCAGTATACCTGAAGGAGCGTCTCCACCCCCATCGTTCAGCCTGGACGTTCAGTCTGATGCTGTATTGTTTTTAATATTCGGTTGGAAGCCACCCAGAGTGGCTGGGGAAACCCAGCCAGATGGGCGGGGTATAAATAAGAAATTATTATTATTATTACCCGAGTTAAGCAGGATATCACAGATTGACAGAAGTCCCAATCCTGGATGTCCCATTTTGGCTCCTGTGGTGTGTTAGACCATGCTGGGCCCCATGGCATCTCCTGACGCTGCGCAGGCTGGTGTGACCTCATGCCAGGCTGCAGTGGTCTGCACATTGTCCCCCAACGCTCCCCCGTGGCTGTGGAGGGTGACAGCAGACCAGGAGGGAGGAAGAGTAGGGAGGGGGTGAGCGGGCAGGTGAGGAAGGGGTCAGCAGGGTGAAGGCCCCAAATTGTCCTCCCCAAATGCTTGCAGGAAGTGTATGCAAGTGACGCAAATGGGATTAGAGCTGCTCGATTTCCAAAGCAGCTTGAATCATATTTTGACTGGGACGTGCAGTAAAGTTAATGAATACTGGGATGTGATATACAATGTGTTAAGTTATGGGTGAACATATCAGACAACACAGCCAGCTCTTGTTTATTCACAGGCCAGAACAGAACTGAACTGAAGGGTTCAGCCAGCCTGCTTATATAAAGCTTCACTACAACGCAACAGTAACAACTTTCTGTAACTATCCAATCACTGAACGTCACTTTCAATTCCTTATTTGCATATGTGGACCTGAGTGAAAACTATCTACAGTATCCCCCTGCTGGCCCAGGGTGAGAATTTCAGTACATAACACAATGAATTGAAAAAGATCTTTAAATATACTTTTATTTAAAAAACCCTGGAGGCTTTTCTTTTGGTTGTTGTGGATGAAGAAATTCCCAAAGTAGACTTAAATATGTTTATATATGCTACCATGGCTGCAAGGACACTTTTAGCTCAGAAATGGAAGCAGCAGGAACTTCCAACTTTGGAAGACAAAAATGACTGAATATGCAGAAAAGGCAAAGCCGACAGGGAAAATCCGAAACCAGTGTGATGAACTGTTTGAAAAGGACTGGAGTAAATTTATACAATACATGAAAGAACATTGATGAAACTGGTTGCTTTACAAGAGTTGGACTAGGGGAATTTCCACCTGCAAGTTAAAAACCGTGAGACTCTGGGACTGACCTTGAATCTTTCAAATGTTATGGTAAATGGAAGAGGAAAAACAGACCAGTCAACTGCTGACAAAACATTAAGGTCTGGGAGGACTTGGTAACAATCCAAGAGAGGTCTATTATTAGGCCCTCCTGTTCTTTTTGTTGCTGTCTTTGTACTAGTATATTTGAAGCCAAGAGGAATGTCAACAGAGGAGGCTTTGGTGGCTGTATTGTATAAGATAAATGACTCATTGGATCAGCTTCACAGGAAAATGGACATGATAAATGCGAAAGTGGATGTTTCAATTGTTGAGGTTGACCTGAATGCAGGGAGTATGGACAATACCAATACAGAAACCACCCAGAAATTGATACAAGAACCTATTTTGATATGGCAAGCTGTGGAGGAAGTCAGGGAAAAAGCTGTTGCTGTTGAAGGTACAGTAACACAACTGGAGAGAAAGAGAAAGAGAGCCCCAGCCCTACAGAGGCAATTTGATGAACATAAGTTGACGCTCGCTATGACTGAACTTAAGGAAAAACAGACGAATTTGAGGATTAGAGTTCACCTTTGGTGGACATGCCCAAGGATTAAGACACTCTGGGAGATGATTCATAACGAAATGAAAAAGGTATTTAAATATACCCTTTTGAAGAAACCAGAGGCCTTTCTCCTGGGCATGGTCGGTCAATTGGTGATAAAGAAGGATAGAATTTGTTTCATGTATGCAACAATAGCAGCAAGAATACTCATTGTGAAGTACTGGAAGACACAAGATTTATCCATTCGGGAAGAATGGCAGATGAAGTTGATGGACTATATGGAATTGGCGGAAACAACTGGCAGAAATCCGAGACCAGGGAGAAGAGCTGGTGGAAGAAGACTGGGAAAAGTTTAA